TATTATATAGTAGATATGGTAGATCTCGAGTTGAAAATGGGAAGGGCTTTCCTTCTGCATAGCTCTGGCACAATACTGAGTGAGGAAACTTTACTTTTTTCATTATCCGAGTTTTCAACGTCATAGTGTTTGTCAAGAAAGTTGTGCAGTTACAAAGGAACTGTAATTTTTGTGCTTATAAATTTTGTGCTTTACAGAATATTTCTGAGATAGTCTTTATAGTTCCGCTAGTTCAAGTAGTTAGGAAGAACTGTGATAAACGTTACATAGCTGTAATAGCGTTGCGTCTGAGTTGAAGTGGTCATCGATGGTGGGATTCACAAAATACTCGGGATTTTCATTGCTCTCAGTGAATAAGTAACTCTAATACTGCTTAAATCCTTTGATAGTCAAGAATGCTACGGCTACTTCGCGACTACTTTTTTCAAGAAAAGACGAGAATCCATCGTTAGTCATTTGCTGATCTGCTGTTAATCATGCATTTATAAAGTGTTATTAGACATTTACAGCTACTGACGCAACTGACTGCTCTATTTCTAATCTACTTGCTTATCGCGGACTTGAAGACAAATGAGATAAATAGTTATGAAATTCTGATTTACGAAACTCGTACTGCACCTCCAAGGGCTGATAATGTCTAGATTTCAGGTATGATTGTATCTGAATAGAAACGTATGTGCAAATTTCCATCCGCTTTATTTCCAACACTGTCAATTTCTGGCTATCCGTGGTTTCGGATTTTTGCTTACTGTGCAGAGAATCTCATTTTTTTTAATGACAAGAAATGTCATTTGTCTGTTGCACATACGTTTCTGCGATAGAGTTCACGGTTAATTTTGATTGCGCATTAGACTAGGCTTTGGAGTAAGTCCCCTACTAGGAATTGTAGAAGACAGTGTTTCAACAGATTTGAGGTAGGCTAGATTTTCGCGGACTCGCCTAGGGTAACTCCTTATTAGGCCGCTGCTCAAGTTCCTTTTGACATGACCATTCCTAGTAGTTGAAAAGGGCACACCGAGTGGCTTACAAAGCACGATTTTTTGATGTGTACATATAACACTGAGGCAAGCGCTAGGGTAGAGGGATGCAGCTCGTCCTTGTTCCAGTCCCTCTGTGGGGCTTTGCGATATTTCGCGAATTCGAACCCTATACGGTATACACAGCTAAGGCTTGTAATCTGCAAAGATTTTCAGTTCCAAATTTTGGTGAAGGTGTTGGTGTTTTTGGGTTTTTTCTTGAATTCATACTCCACATAGGGTTCCAGCCTTTGCTACAGGTAACGTAAAGCTGAGATCTTTTTTTTATCTGCTTGGAAGGAAATACCAAGCTTTAACGGTGAAATAAATTTCCTTCCTGTTGCATAATCTATACATGGCCTAAAATGATCTTAAAGTTACAGCCCTGCTTACTGCACTATGTATATTACGACTATTTTAGGGAACTCGTTAACTCGCTTAGAGCAACGCTAACGAAAACTTCAAAGTAACATTCTCACAAGAAGAGGAGTGCCGTTTTTGGCATATCCTACTACTGTGTGTATCTATGAGAAATTCGTATTTGAACTACACGTCTTGACTTTCTCTTGAGGACTTCAAGTATAAAGGAATATGCTATTGCCAGAATGCGCAGATTCAAGATGATTTGTAGAACGCTTTTCGCGGCGAGCTGTATCCTGACGGTATTCTCTGGTGTCGTAAGCTTGCTCTAGACTACAGCTTATAAGGGAAGAATGCTTGGTGGCCGTGGCCATTTGTAATGGTTAGTATATTAAAAAAGATGCGCGTTTCAGTGCTGGTTCGATTACTCTTCCTTGTCTGCGAAACGATAACCTGGATGGTGTTATGATGATTTCCCACGAATAAGTTGCGCTACTGCGGAGGGTCAAAATTATTAATAAAAACCTTCTTTCCTTTCCAAATGCTGAGTATTATCCAAATAGGTATAATACAACAATATTCCTTTTTAAATTTTTTCAATAGTTTCAGAAGGTAACAACTAGAACAGATTCAGTTACTTTAGCTACTCAAAAGTACGCAAATTTCTTACGAAAAAAGTTTATAACTTCTTACAGAAGATCGTTTTGCAGATATCGAGCACAGATTTAGAATCAGCGTTTCGAGATGCATCTTGCGGTATACATTCCAAATGGCCACGGTTACCGAGTATCCTTTATTGCTAGTCACACAGCTAGATAGTCACCACTCTCTCTGACTAGGATACAGCTAGTTCAAACCAACGTATCTGTGTTCTATCTTGATGGTCTTGCAGTTCTAACCATTAGCGAGGCCCAGAGAAAGTTGCTCAAATATTTTGCGGAAAAAAACTTCTTGCTTTGTTTTTTTTTTCACTCCTTTTCAGTGATATTTTTTATTTCGTTCTATGACAGATAACTGCACTTACCACTACAGTCTTTTCCAATACTTTTTACTCAGGTACAACAAAATTCCTCCGACTCATGAAGCACATCTCTGATTCAGTGGCTTGAAGCATAAACACAAAAGTTGGTGTTCTGCACTTCATTATGCTGTGTTGCAGCCGTTTTGTCTCCATGTTACGCAATCTCTAATTTTAGTTGCCTTATCAGTTTCTGCCAAAATCGAAGGATACGTTGGCAGGGAAAAAACAGTTCCGGCTGTGCGTAACAAATTTCTTAGGTGCATAGCAACAGGTGTCCCCGCTTTTCTTTTGCTAAAGATCAGTGATTAGAATATTGACTTCTAGTCTTTAAGGGCTTCAGTGGTTGATCGCATCGTTTCTTAGATTCCTTTTCATGCGGGAAAACATTGCCATCATTAGGAGGTCTTCAGGAGTGGGTTGGTTCATGTTTAGGTTAAACTTAGTGTCCAGCTGATTACCAAGGATGATTTTCTCACTCAGTCAAAATTTGAAGTATATGGGAGTGATTGCTCTGTTTGAAACTCTGCTTTCCATTACTTGTACTTAAAAAAGCTGCTCAGTGGTCTTATCACTGACGCCAAGAACATTTCTGTCAGAATGCTTTCCGGCCGTTTTCTTTCCATATCGGATTTAATGTGCTAGACATATCTTAGCACCTTTTATGGGTAGTCGCTCTCGGGTAATGAGGGATCTATGCCTATCCGAGTTGGATTTTCGTGGGTATGTGGTTGAGAAAGAAAAGTTCCCTTTGTATCTCCGCGTTAGATTTTCTAATGAATTAACAAATGAATAAGTTAACGAAATATAGGATGGAGTCATTCTGATTTTGTGTTAGCGTATAGGCAAGTGTTTATAAATCGTCATATGCAGTGACGTAGTTAGTTGAGTGTGGCCATCGAGTATGTTTTTCTTATCTGTTGTCAGAATGTTTATTTCACGTGCAATGCAAGTTTCCTGCGAAAAAATGTACTCGAGAAATGGTGGTATTTTGTGAGACCCGACGAAAAACTCGTTGCGCACCTGTCCATGTGGTGACGTAGGTACAATTACCGAACCTGTTATGGCAGTAGAAAAAGTGCACTAGTGTCAGGGGATTCCAAAAATCCCGAGATTTGCAGCTTTTTCCGGCGGGGAAAGCGCGAGTCGCGGTGCTTTTGTGTTTTTGACTGAGCTTCACACCTTCTGCTCGTTCTTTGGCGGCGATTAGTTGCGCGTTCGGCGATCTGCGGCGCCAGTTTCTCCACGTCGCGTTCCCCGTCGCTGTCCCCCGGTCCCACCCCCACCGCTATGGTATTTGTTGCGATGAGTCATAGTTGGAGCTGTTCGACCCTCCCCTCTCGACCAAAACATATTCTGTACTTATTGATTAGCCCGTACAAATCAGTAGTGATTTGGCTGCACCGTGAGAGGTTGACATTGCTATCCGATGAACGCTACCATGTCACGACATCTGTTTACCAATCACCAACGCCTACTTTGCAGCGGCTACCAGCAACGAGCATCATGCAAAGTGAGCGTTTCTTCGCTTCTGTATGGGAAGAATTTCTCGTTCTTGACGAGCGAATCTGTGGCGAATCTCCCCCTCGAATTTTGTGGACAGAGCACGACTCGCGAATGTCTGTGTGTGAAATGTGAAATGGTTTGAACTTCGTTACATAAGAAGAATGCACATCGATTGTCGTTTCGAGCAACAAAAGTACCGATCCTATCAATTGAAAATCGCGCGCACTTAACGCCATTGCCGCTCGTGACTATTTGCTCAACATCTTCGACTCCTGACGGATTACTGTAGCGCTACGCTGCTTGTACTATTCCCCCCATTCGCCAAATCTTTTCATTCTTTGCAATCTTTTCGAATTTATCCTGAAATGTGCATGGAATTTGGCATACTTGTTCCCATCTCATCAAATGTGTGAAAATTACGTCGAAAAGAATGTTATGCACGATGTTCGAATTCCTTGCGACTCGACGAAATCGTCACGGTTCGAAAACTGCCTTTCTAGTCATTTCTTTCGAATATCTGTTTCAAATGTGTTTTCGCTAAAGTAGGTAGAAAAATGAGAGCTGGTATGAGAATGTGATAACAAATGATGTCATGTCAGTACACAAACCAATTTAGCAGTATTTATTACTTCGGTGAAGGACGTTCTCTACCCTTTTGAAAGAATATTTTTGGGTTGCAGGAGTAAAGAAAGTAGGAGTCCAGTTAGGAGTTCCTCTGCAACTCTGGTTTGATTTGCAACGTTGCTTCGCTTCTAGGCGGGTTCAAGAAATAACTATGGAATAGGAGTTTTAATCAAGGTTTCCAAGAAATGGGAGATGAATTTTTGCTTCGAGATGTGACGATTTGGTCACTGGAGCTCTCACAAGTTATCGAGAATTTCACTCCATAAAATACCTATATGTGGCTTTTGTCACTTCATTTAGGGTTCCTCAGAAATTTTTTCCATCTGTGCAAATAGAGAAATCCTTACTTTTGGCCTCATAATAGGTTAAGCTATGCAAAGTTTCTATTTGACAACGGGAGAGCTTGCTGCAAAATCTAACTTTTGTACAGTTTCCCAGTTCTTCAGTGTTGTTTTTGATTTTACAATTACTTTCAGTTCACGCAACAATCGCCGGCGGACTCTAACTGCTCTTCGACGCTTGCGCCACCGCTCACATCACCGATTGGAAATCCTGCTATAGGTGAGATTACCGTTTTATTCGTTGCAAATCTCATCAAAGCGAGATTTTTGGATAAATGACTAGCGGGAAAATCCTTTTGTAAGTTGAGCCATATTCAAAACAACGGGTGACCGAATCCCCTTTCTTGATTAAGGAGTAGATATTGAAAATTCCATTGTCATAAAACTACTAGGTACTTGTAGAATTCTTCAGTGGATCTGCATTGTTAGAACTTCCAAAAATATAATACAACGGACCACCATAATTTTCAGGCAATCGTCTTAACCCGCTCGCTCCGCCCGGATTTGGATACCCGCGAGGGCCGCTGCCGTACGACTTGAACCCGCAGTACATGGGAGGAGCGAGGAAGACCGGTGGACGACGACCCAAGGAATTCGAAATGGGACCGGTAGGATTTTTAGACTACAATTCGGTTAGTTAGGCTATGCATTGGGTAGTTTACTTCTCCTTTCCTGTCACTGTGTGCGAACTGGGTTCTTGGGGATTTGGGTAAAAGGGAAAATCTCGGATTAAGAGAGGTTTGATGTTAGTAGGTAGTTGCAGCGGTGAAATCAGTAATTCACCTCTGTTCACTCTAGAGGACGCTGATGGGGTTTAATGTATCAATGTACTGGCAGTAAAGTATGGAGGTTCAGCTTATCGGGATTCTCAAACCTCTATAACCCGCTGACGTGCACAATCTAATAGAGTCAGAAACTAACATCTGGGGTCTGACAGACTTCATCCTATCCCCTAGACAAGCGATGAAAGTTATAGGAACCAAAATTTATCTACTCCTTGGAGGATTGAAGGAATCCTCAGACCTTCCCGGGAATCCTCAGTGAGGAAGATCCTAGAACATGAATATCTTGAGTACTTAGAAATTCTTATATTTGGAACGGTGTCTTTCTGTGTACCTCAAACTGCGCACTAATTTGCATCAGAGGTCCCCGAAAGAACTGTTGCGGGACCTTTATTCTTGACACTTGCCATTCTTTGAAGGAAACGAGTATCTATTTCTCATCGGGTTCTATTCGTTCTGGTATTCAGCCGTCGAGGCAAGCAACACCGTGAACGCGTCCGTGCGCAAATAACAGTTTGCATGAGTCATCGGTGTCGTATCTTGCAACTTTCTTCGCCAATATCATATCTGGTTGTCAGAAATGTGGAAAAACGTTATCGGAAAAGTACGTTTCGTCACTCTTCACTCTTCACGAGTCGTCTACATAGTGATAGATTGTCATTGAGGATGCACTCAGTTTGAGAAATAGGTTATTTTGGAAGTGATTTTGTGACTAACGTAAGCTAGAAAAAGCACTCTTGTCTTGCAATTACCAAAGTACATGCGAGTTTTTCACTGTACCCTCTATGTAGCCGCGTTAAGTTCCCGGTTGCCTTCGTCACGCATCCATTCGCGAACTTTTGTTTTAGGGCCTTCTGTTGTAATGTGACGTAGCAGAACCGCTTGCGTCACTTGCGCAGATTCGCGTTGTTCTTGGCCAGTCGCATTTGATCTCTGGATCATGCCGAAGGTTGGAAACTGGTTTTTGACGTGCGCTGACTCATGGCTAAGATCGTCCCACGATATAAATAAGGAGAACTCTGCCCCAATCCATCTGACGATGATAATAAATCGTTTGCACAAGGAGATTGAGTCAAGGCATAATTGATACTTTTGCAAGAAATTTTGCCGAATTTGGGACATTTGCGTGATTTTTGGGAAGATCGGGTGAGCAGAGCTGATTCAGAATTCTTCCGCTGACATTTTCACCCAAATTTTCATGGGATTCAATTAATGGAAAAATATAAAAAAAAGAAGAAAAGAAATAAGAAGAAGAAAAAGAAAAATAATGACTAAAAAAAGTATATGTTGCAGGATGTACTGTAGCTGCTAATAATGTTTCCTACAATCAAATTCTCACTTTTCCGAAAAACGAATCACGACGAAACGACGTTGTTCGTAACAGCGACTATGTCGTAACAGAGTTCTCAAATCATGACTTTTCTTATAGTAATTTTCAGTTGATAATAAGTACTTTATTGCCGGGGAAAGACATACTCAAATTTACTTGCTTAAAATACTTTTATACACGCTCTCGCGAGTATCTAGAAAGAAAATCACGCAGTGCATAACCTTCTTCAACGGATATGTCATGAATTTGTGAGTATAATTGGAATTTCTGGCAAACTTCTGACTGCGATATTGTGTTGGTACGCTTCTCACAGCTATAGTTATGGTCTATAGTCTCTCAAGCTTTTTTGGTACCGTAGGAGCCGGAACAATAATGATAGAAACTCGTTACCCTTTGAAGGAAGGAGGAATTAGGACCTGGAATGAAAGTCCCTTTGTTTGACCCGATGACTCAAAACTGTCCATGTCATCCCCAAGAACATTAAGAACTGGAAAAACAGCTCTCATTACCTGACTAATATGTTACGTCATTTCACTGCAAAACTTGCTTCTTCTGCAATTGCAAATGCCGTTCGCTAAATGATTGCATCGTATGCACGTATATCCATTGGCCTGACTTCCTCCTTTCTTTTTTCTTCTTCATTTTCATAGTGGAATTGTAAACATTTACGAAAAAGTATCGCTTGCAGGAGATTGAAGATCAAGAAGAGTTGGACAAGAAGCTAAAGAGGCGTCAAAGGAATAAGGAAGCCGCTGCACGATGCCGTCAACGACGTCTCGATTTGATGACAAACCTCCAAGAAGTATGTGATTTAATCTGTTTTTTTGTCTTTGAATATGCTTGAAGTGTTTTTTTAGCAAGTTGACAAGTTCAAAGCTGAAAATGAGAAAAAGGAGTTAGAAATTCGCGCTATGAAAACGCAGGTCAGTCTAATAGTAATAATCTATCAAATTTCCTTGTGTGTTTCACTTATTTTCCATTCTTTCTTTCTCGCGAGAGAACAATAACACCGTTTGCTTTTAGCTTACATAATTCGGGAGGTTTTCCTCTCTTAGAATTTCTTATCTCAAAAGCTAAAAGCAAGAAAACATCTACAGTGTCAGGCTTTCATCCAGAAAAATGTTGTTCAGATGGCGCAGATGGAAAGCTTTTTACGCTCGCACGATTGCAAAATGAGTGTTGAAGAGAGGGAATCGTTACTAAACATGCCGGTCAGAACAACGATGCCTCCCATTATGAATGGAATCAGTAAGTAGCCATGATTATACGTTACTGTATCCATACGGTAGCATTCAGATCACCTGTATCTTGAAAATCTGCGAAATTTCAGGCACAACTCAGCAACACCCCGTTTCTGATTACCGGCCAAATATTGAGGTGAACCGGAAACGGGTTTTGCCGGCCCCACAATTGCCTGCCCATTCCGATGCCAATTTCCTTGAACCTGATATTAAGGTAAAATTTGTTCAAGGCATTTTTCGACCAAATACTTTTTTCGAAGAGGAATGTATTGCTTTTTTGATTAGTTTCGTTTTCAGTGCCCGAAAATAGAGAAAGACGTCTCATTGGCTGATCTGAATGGGGACCCAACGATAACCCGTCCTAATCATATCAATTTCGAGGGCATTGGTCTCGGAAACAACCATGCACCTCTTTCAACTCCCTCGAATATCACTTACACCAGTAGCGTTCCGTATACGACGCCTAATAACTACACTCCCGGATTCCCCGGATGTAAGTTTTTCGATTACTTTGATGTGTCTTGAAAAAGTTGACCAAGGTAGTCTTTTGATAAATCATAGGACAGGAAAAAGCTCTGGGTTCTAAAAATCGGCGTTTTTTTTTCTTGCGTTTCGCATCCTCCCATCCATAAGGTTGACTGTTACTGCGAATCACAAATATTATAGGTAGAGGACGAATTTTGCCTCTAAGCGTCGCCTCCGGGATTACTGGTCCTCAACGCATATGCAGTAGCATGTGCGAAAGGACCAATAGTCCACGGAAGCAGCCACCTGGGTCGTTCCCTTATTTAGAAAAGTGGAGGCTTGGGGGTACACTCAAAAATTTGCTGATTTGGAATTCTGATTGAAAAACATTAAAGCGTTCATTTTCGACGCTAATTTTAAAAAATATCACCATCATGCTGTGTACTATGTCGAATTTTTTCAGTAAACAACGATTTTCTGAATGACAGCACTGGGCTGACGCCGTGCACCACACAAAATCCGATCTTTGTCAGCACTCCAACTCCACTCCAGACATCGGAGGCCGATTTGCGGGCGTTGTGAACTAAATTTTTCCTACGCTTGATAGTCTTCTCCATGCTTTGCTGTATAGTGTATTCTTTACATTTCCTTTCCACTATCTCAATTGTTTCACTATCTTGCGTTGGTAATATCGTAGAAGTGTCAGTTTTAGCTACCAAGCCGAGTGAACTCGTCCACTTTTTATCTTTTCATCAACCTTGTGATCCTTGCAAAATCACTAACACCGAATCAAGAAGCAGCATATCATTGTGCGTAGTTCCGAGCCTAGCGCCTCTCATGATTCTGTAAGAGTCTCTCTCTCTCATTCACCCGTGCCCCGCCTTGCACCATCATTCCCCGTTCGTTCCCCTTTGATGTGATGACGATGATGATCGCCGCCCCGCGTATGTCTGTAGTCCGATCTAATCGATTTATCGATTTATATCTCTTACCACTGGTACCCCAAGTGACTTATCTTCTTGTTAGAAGTTCGTTCAGTTCTTATTTTTACATGTACGTACATTTCTATTTGCATGTGTGTTTTTTTCCGTTGTTCGCTTTTTTCCGTGATATTTACCTTACATTTGTTGCGCTTGAAATGTCATATGAGTCACATCTTGCGTCGATTTTCATATCGATTTCTTGACCGATCAGTAACGCTTGCGTTCGATTTGGCGTAATGCATTCTGAGGGCCCACTTTATATGGCCTTGTGCTAATTTTTAGATGTTGATTGAAATCTATGTCGGTACTACGATGTGCATTTTATTGATTTATATCAAACTCGAAAAGCAATAAATATTCGGGAAATTTCCTGCTCGAAGCTAGTTTGCATGAACGAGCTGTCTACTGTAAACAGAGGCACCAATGACGTGTCGCGTCTCCGAAAGTGGGCGGTCCTACGCTCGAGGCAGACTATCACCTGAGATTATGTCACACAAGTACCTTGGGTTTCCCCGTGCTAGACGGACAGAATGGTATTGTCCAAGGCACTGTGACCACATACCTAAACTGGAAAATGAATAACTGCGTTTGGGACGCGAATGAGGAAAGTGAAAAACCGGGTAGCGGTTTATGCACGTGGAATTGATCAGTCGCTGTGAGGCAATGAACCGCTCAGCAAAAGGAAGAAAACACAAGATCTTGATAATCGTTCCACCTTTTCCGATCTGTTATGAGGGCATGAACTTTTTTAGCCAAAATGAGCTCATAAATCGCATATGGCTCGTTTCAGTCGTGATCATCTTTGATATCATTAGCTTAAGCATAGAAGTGTACAGTTTGCTAGTGCTGTTGAAGCTGAAGTCAGGCTAAGCTAAGTCTTGACCGAAGGCCGTACAAGTTTACGTGCACGATAAAATGTTCGAGAAGAAGAGAATGCGAAGCTGGCAGAATCTGAGCTACGGGTAGCCACCAGGATACTTCTCTGAACGGGCTATACTTTTTTTGGGCTGAGAAAAGAGTTGTGATACATAACGTCCGTCACTATGTAACCTTCTTGGCCACTGGAAGGCGGGGCTTTGTGACCTTATTAAGGCCGCTCGTGCCGCGACGCAGTCGGCGTCCCTTCCCGCGCGTGCTCTCTGATCATTACCAAGCCTTAATTAGGTCACGAAGCCCGCCTTCCAGCCGCGAAGCCAGTTGAATTGGGTACACACTTCCATATTCCCAGCTTGAAGTGTTCATAACGATATGCAATTTATAACAATAAGCAAAATATTCCGAAATTTTTTTCCAGCTTACGTGTTTTCACTGCACCCGTACAACTTTGGAGCCCGTAGAAACAGATTCATTCAACTTTTTGAAAAAAGCCCCTGTAGTAAGTGTGCTCACTCAAGGCATTCGGCACCATCACTTCGCTATTTGAAAGAAGCGGCGGCAAAGTGACGGATACGGGGATTCCACAGCGACGAAATGGCGGATCCCTCCCCCACTAATCGGAGCAATATAATGCATCTGAAAGAAGCCATTTTGTCATCGCAAACCACTCTAGACCCATATTAACAGACTTTAAAGTGAGAGTTTCTGATGGAAATGCAAAAAGGCTCAACCATACAAGACTCCGAAGAAATCATCGTAAAAAGTATGACAGAGTTTTCAATTCAAATATCGCACCCTTTCATTCAACTGGCTTGGCGGCTGGAATGCGGGGCTTCGTGACCTATTAAGGCTAGATAGTGATCAGAGAGCACGAGCGAGAGAGAGGCATAAACTGCGTCGCGGGCGCGAGCGGCCTTAACTAGGTCACAAGCCCCGTCTTCCAGCCGTCAAGTCAGTTGAATCAAATCTTAGTAAATATACATCTTTCATGGAAATGCATCTGACTCCATGAGCAATGTGCATGCGTGGAAAAGACCCAGAAATGCCTAGTCTAATTGAAAATTTGGAGAGGATTCTACATTACGACCGAGATTAGTCCTAGCACATCTAGCAGAGATTGGAGTACATGTATGTTATCACAGGAGAGGCATTTGTTGCGAAATGTGTGTTATTCAATTGAAGTAGAACTGAAGTGAGCGGATACATTTCTTCACTCACAATTAGAAGACAGAACAGTAGGTGAAGTAGTTGAATGCAGAAGCTTTGGGCTAATGATTTACAAAGATATCATTGAAACGATTCCAAAAGGCAGCGTAGACGGGTTGCAGAAGACGACAGTACTATCAGGTCATGATTCCACTTTCTTTGCCAATCGTTAACAGGTCTTCTCCGAAAAGCAAAAACGCACGGCTGCAATACGCACGTCAATTCGAAAGGAACAGAGTGCAAAGGTTGGAATTTTGTCGCCAATCGTGAAGTTGCCAAATCTTACCGTAGACGTCTACATTTTTCTTTGCGGTAGTGCAGTTCATTGAAGTCAGTAATGCGGCATTGACTTGGAATCTACCCCAGAAAGGTACGGTAAGTGACTGAAGTGGTTATGTTGGTACTTTCTTTTCATTCATGTTATGATTCCATTGTGCAACTACACACGATAAACGTTTCTCTTAGCTAACATTAGCTGCCATAGAACTAATTTTTCAATTTGATTTTTCCAATTTAAGGGTTTTGCTAACACTTTCAAAACGACGGTAATCTTCGAATTGTGTCCTATACCTAGGATGCATTTCACGCAGATTTCTTCTTGCTTTCTTCCATTCATAATTTTCCGATGGCCACCCCTTCTTGTTGAAATCTTGGAACTCAAAAATGCGATGTTTGAAGCTGATTATTTCGTACGCTGTTTTGACCCAACTCATTGCCGCAGAAAACTTTCCACTCAATAACGCCGAGACCTGAAGCTGCTCAATGCATTGCTAACACCGGCCAGATTTTTTGAGAAACCCTAGCCGCGACCACTCTATGGCCCGAAAACTTCCCAAAACATTGAAAAGCGATTTAGGCTCAGCTTCAGGATGGAACCAGAGCGCTGACAGTAGGCACTTTACTATCACCCACGCTTCCAAAAGTGAAAGAAAGGGAAAGTTCAAAATTGGGAGATTAGTTACGGTAAATGAAAAAATTGTGAGGTCAAGATAATTTTGTATTATTGGCTCGTGCTGAATCTAAATGAATGTGAAAAATTGAGTCCCCTTATCCTTTAGTCAAGTTGATTTGCCAAAAAGCATTTTTGCTGAGCTAGAGATGACTCATGCTTTTGTGTTGGCAGGTAATTGCCAAAGACCTTTTTTTTATATTTTGCTTTGATCTGTGGTGTGAACTGCCAACGTAAAGCTAGGACTTTGCCGAACATTGTAGGTAAATTCATTATATATAGTGATTCACTTCCCTGTTGTCACTTAAACTTATACCAAAAAATACCTCCTACGCTTATCTCTGCCTAGCTATTCTTATTTATATGTAAGTCTTGAGCAATCGGGCTTAAGGGCATTTTGCAATTTCTGAAGCTCACCGAGCATCATCGGGTTCACACGGCTCGTGCTCACTTTTGAGGGGATTTGAATTCGAGCAGATTATGGGATTATTCGTCTCGCCATCGCACCTGGCAATTCTCAGATCCTAATCAAATCATTGTCAAGAGCTAGAGCTTAGATATGAAAGAAATCACAACTATTGCTTGTTTCCTCTTCTCGCTCCGCCTCATCAGCTATCAGCCAATCACAGCTGCACCACGACCAATCAGTGCGATGTCACGCAATGCGGTATAAAAGGATCCTTCTCACTTTCAAACATCCCCCACTTTATACTTTCCTTCAAATGCCTAGGTTATAATCCAACCATAGTAACCTCAAAATCGCTTTTCACAAAATCTCGCGTGCATATAAAACACATTTTATCAAGTATGTTAGTACTGTAAAATTAGGCGTAGCCCTCGATTTGTGCTTGGGGGCTATCTCATCTATCCACTTTCCGCCAAGTTAAGCTGTTCCAGTCTAGCTCGAACAAGCTCAGCTAGCCTGGAATAGCTTAAAGTTTGCTTTCGACGCTTATTCAAGCCAGTTGATCTCCCTGTTCACTTGCTAATATGCTCAATCTCTTCATTGACAAGGGTATAAATGGTCTGTATCATTTAGCACAGCAACGGTGTTCTCTTGAGTCTGACTACTATATACTAATTTTGGTAGCTTAGAAGCTTTTCTCACTGAAAACTATATGACTTTGAGGTATATCTGTGAGTAAGCATGTGGAGATACGTAATGTTAATCTGACAAAACCAGAAAAACTTGCTTAGATGCTTAAATTAATCTCACAGCTGTGAAGTTTCCCGCAACTTTTGTCCAAAGCTCTTCGGCTCATGAGGTAGTCCCTAAGGACCACAAGTTTGAGCTCGAGTTTCAAAATGAACCCAAGCGGTGATATACCTGCTATGAGATTTGAGCTACCTATAGCAAGAAATTCCCACATTTTGCAGAGCTTTTTACTATTTCTGGATAATGGGCAGAACTCAAGTCATGCTAATTCACTCAAAACTTGAAGTATCGTATGAAACTAATACGGAGCAGGGCTTTATCTCTAAGCCAATATAACAGTGATGCTTCTTTTCGGTTCGTGTAATCGTGTATCTCGTGAGAATAATCTCATGGTTTGCAGACTACACTAGTATAATATCCTGATAATGAGAAGTTTCTCTCACATAATAAACCTCATGCTTTTACTTCTTCTCGTTACAATTATATAAGAAGAGTTTTGACAGTTACAAACTAAACATTATCTCCTCAGAAATAGAGGTCCACTTGAGTGAAAGTCAGTGACAGCACTCGCCCTATGTTTGCAGCGTATTTGATTGCTTAACTTCTCTATTCAATCACTTCAACTGCATAAAGTTTGGATACTCTTCTTTGCCGTACTGTAGTTTTGAGAGTACGGTAGTGTGGTACACTTGGAGCACATCATAAATGACGTGCGACCAATTCCAGAAAATTTTTGGGATACTTTGTTTTATTTTGTTCCAATTTTTCAAATAGCTCAAGATGTCTTGAGACAGCTTTTGCTTTGGAATCTGTTGAACTTTTCACGGAACATCTTATGGAGAACACATTCTTTAAGAAACCTATGGAACATCTGATGGGAGTTAGTATAGGATTGTAGTGATCTACTGCAGTACATCATCCGCGCAAGCTTAAATCCTTCGCTTTTTCATGAAATATATCCGCTGGCAAGACTTCTTCTAACTTGACTAGTGTTTCTTTTTCTTTTCCGTTGCGTTATGTTATAAGAACTACCTGTCAATGTAT